GGAGGAGGAGAAGAAGAAGAAGAAGAAGAAGAGGAGGAGGAGGAGGAGGAGGAGGGGCGGTGGTGGACTTACCTTCGCGGCTATGGGGGGCAGTTGCAACGAAGCGGGATGGCGGGGCGAAGCAGCTGCAGAGAGAGGTCGGTGGCGGGCTCGAGACGGGGCGCTGGTGCTTGTCGCGTGGTGGCAGCACACGACATCGACGCGCATGCAGAAAGGCGCGACGTCAACGTCGTGTGTTTCTTGCTGTAGCATGGGGCAGGTGGGGCGGAGGGGCAGAGGCAGGCCACTGGACCGGTAAAAATTTCAAAACGCGGCCGATTTCGGCCGCAGATCCGCAGATATGCGGCCGAAATCGGGCGCGTTTTCAAATTTGAAAACGGGGGCCTACCGGACCCCGTTTTCGTTTGCAAACGCGCGGCCGATTTCCACCGTCAATCTGCGCCGATCGGCGGCGGAGATTGGCTGCGCGTTTTCAAACGAAAACGGGGTCCGGTACGGCCCGCTTTTTTTTTTCCTGCTGGCGGCGGCCTCTGAGAGGCTGGGCGGGAACGGGGACGCCCGAAAATCCCCCGTACCGCCCCCCAAAATTCGTGCGCCCGATCGAACCGGGGGCCTGCCGGGCCAGTGAAGCGCCTGGTCGGACCGGTAGGCTCCCGGTCGGTCGCAGGTCCCCCGGTCCATCCGGGGACCAGCACTGGTTCAAACGCACTGCTCACAGACTGAGAAAGTTGGCTTGTCCGTCCTGGCTGGTTGTGGAAGTATTGGGCACTTTCCAGCCCGCACCAGGTGTTAGGAGCTTGGGTGCTGCTTCCTGCGCAGAGCAGAGTTAGGTAGGCGTAGACCATAACCATACGATAGGTTAGCCCAAGTTAGTAGATTTCCCCTGAATAGAGTAGTTTCTGTAGCCTTACACCCTAGCCTTAGACTCTGTCTTAGACCCTATATTGCCTTGGTTGGTGTGTGGATGGGCTCTTATTGGTCGGGGTTAGGTAATGCGAGGTTAAAAATGCGGCTGATCCCTTGCCTGTCTGGGGTAGGTAGTGCGAGGCACAATACCGAGAGAAGATGATAGCATAGTAAAAAAAATGCGGCTGTCCCCCATGTGAGGAAAAGACAAGCCTGCATTATTAAAAAAAAAATAAAAAAATGCAGGGAAGGACAAAGAAAAGAGAAAGGAAAAAGAGAAACATTAGCTGTATTTGCTAGGAAGATTGTCATACCCGTCTCTTTTTTTGAGAGTTGGCTGTCAAGGGGGGGAAGGGGGGTATTGATTGGTTTTAAAGGGGCTAAAGGGGGTTACAGGGGGGTGCCTTAGTGCGATTCTGTCATTTAACTTATTATTTTCTTTATTAAAAGGGCCTTTACCCGATATAGGCCTCAGGCCTTGTAAAAATAGAGCAGCACGGGCCTTGTAAAAGTAAAGCATTGTGAAAAGGTATCTTGCCAGGGCTCAGAAACGTGAAAACAGGTCAAAAGTCAAGTTCTCTATCAACAGGCACATCTAAATCTAAGGCAAAGGGCATTGTCAAAAGACTTACCTGTTCACCAGGAGATGTGTATGTCATGTCTGTTCGAGTAAGGGTGTGTCTGTACGTGTAGGCAGTGTACCTGTTCGTGCAATGGAAAGTGCCTGTTCAAGTAGTAAATGTGTCTGTTCGTTTAGAGTTGTGCCTGTCCGAAAGTGAAGTCAGTAGGCACAGTCCCAGTTCTGGTCTACGTCAAGGGGTCAGTCCAGATCCAGACTTTCAAGTCCAAATCCAGGCCGAAGTGCCTCAGCAGCATTTGAATCTCATTGGGACTGTACTGGGACACATGCAATGCAGGGTCTGGGACAAAGGGAGAGGCTGAATTGAGCCAATGCAGACCCAGCGAGGAGTGGCCAGCACTATAAAAAGAGCTGCCTGCCTCATTCTTCGCCAGATCTCCACTGGCTGCAATGCGTGGAAGTGCTGGTGCACTTGTGCGCTGAGTCAGGAGGAGCAGCGCTGGAGGAGAAGACGCGCTGGAGGGAGGAAGATGCCTGTACGCTGGAAGTGATGCAGCCATAGCTGCCCAGCGAGTTAGCATTAGTAGTAGAGGGTTAGTATGTAGCTATGAGTAGTATCCAGAGTAGATCCTCATGAGTATTGAAGAGTGTGTATGCATCATAGGAGGAAGGGATTGAGGCTGAGAGTGTTCATTCAAGGTTGGCTATGGAAGATACTTACCTGAGTTGGATGTGACCTGCAGAGGTGGCGCTGATGAGTGGTGACCACATTGATGACTTGGAGACTATCTGCAGGGGTAGCACTGATTCACTGGAAGGCATATTGATGAGTTGGCAGCGCTGGACTCAGGGGAACTTTGAAACACTTTGTATTCATATTTCTGATAATATAAACTGTGAAACTCGGTCCTCATCTTCTCTATCTTTGTCTATTGTCAGACTACTGTTCATTGTGTGTGGGAGTACGATGCATGGCATGTACACACTTGTGTGAGATGGTCCCCAGGACCCATGCATTATTATCTCCGATTCTGTAAGGAATTCGGATGTGACCCTCGGCCAAAAGTCGTTTGTAACTTTGTATTGCAATTTTCTACACAACATTTTTTTTTTCCGGAATTCTTTTTTATTTATTTATTTTTGTGCTGGGGCTGCCTGGAACCGTTTGTATGCATTCACAATTAAAGGGCTAGTGGTCCCCAGCCTCTTTTTCCCAATGCGGATTTTTCCCTGGCCCTAAGGAATCTAAGCCATCGCAGTGTGTAATTTGCCTGGCGCCGGGCA